GTACGCGGTTTCGTCGAGCGCGCTTTAGTCGACCGCGGTTTTGTGTTGGAACCCTTCCACAGAACACTCAATGCCCTTCCAAATTGTTCTCTGTGTGGCAACTAGATTTTTAAAAGACTTTCAATTTGTCGAATGGGTTAGGCTTTTTTAATTGATTTGATGCACATCCCATCCAGTGATGGGATTCAAAAATTTTTACTACCGGTTCTGTGGGCGTGGCTTGGTGGGTGTGGCTTGGCTTGGTGGGGGTGGTAGGGGAAGGTTACTGCAAAATCCCTATTCCCTCCCCACTCCAGGGGAAGGATACTGTAAAATCCCCATTCCCTTCCGATCAGCTGGGACCCGGGAGGCAGAGAATAGATGGGGTGGGGGCCAGTCAGAGGTGGTATTTACCGGTTCTCCGAACTACTCAAAATTTCCGCTACCGGTTCTCCAGAACTGGTCAGAACCTGCTGAATACCACCTCTGATCCCATCTTTCAGTCAGAAGTTCAAGTTGGCATACATAAGTACTTCTTCCTCTTATTTGTCCCTAAGCAATAATCCTTTGAGATAGGTTGCACAGCAAGAGAGTGAATGGCTTAATATCACCCGGTGAGATTCTGGGCCTAAGGAGGAACTACCATAAATACCAGGTCTCCATATTCCCGTTCAACACCTTCACCACTAAAATAATGTGTTTATCTTCAAAGTCTTAAAAAAAGAATCCCAACAAGTTTTGCAACAGTACCCCATGTTGGCTGTCAATCTGAAGGAATTCCAACATGGAGGAGAGGAACAGTCCCATCTCCCTCTAGCTCCATCATTGCTGTCATGAAGCTTCCCCCAGGCTCCTCTTTGGAGCATGTTCTCCCACCGTTTCCCCACAGAATTTGAGTCCCTCTGCAGCAACCTGTTGAGCCAAATGGCCGGCCTTTCTAATGAAGTATCTAGGACAGTGATAGCTAACCTTTTCAGCACTGAGTGCCCAAAACTGGAATGTGTGTGCATGCGTGTGCATGTGCTGGAGCATTGGAAAACCGAAGACCAGTTAGCCGGCACATGCATGCCAGTTCTTTTGGCCATTTGGGGGGCCAAAAATAAAAAAAAAATGCCCCCCAAAATGGCCTAAAAACAGTGCTGCAGCCCCGCAAAGAACAACTGACAATGGCACGTATGCCCACAGAGCGGGCTCTGAATGCCACCATTGGCACGCTTGCCGTAGGTTTGCCATTGAGGATCTAGGGGAAGAATAAGAATATTTGCGTTTTAGAAAAGAGGAACCAAAGAAGGGATGAAAAGGTCCCATAGTTACAACAATGCCATCTTGCGTGGCCTAAGAGACAGGCCTTCCCTGGAGCTGCCTCTGCCCTGGGGAACAGCATCCCCATCAAAAGCTCTCAACCCCAACCCCTCCGTGCTTTTTAAAAAAAGCCACAAGGACTGTTTCTTTCAGCAGGATGGATAGGAGCCTACTTTTGAGACTCACCGAACCCTCACCACCCTCCAGGCCTTCCGCAAAGCCCTTAAAACCTGGCTGTTCCAACAGGCCTGGGGCTAATGAGCTTTTGTCCCCCCCTCGAATGGTATGGTTGTTGTGTGTTTTTAAATTGTCTGTCTTTTATTTTTAAATCTTTTTTAATAATTTTAAACTGNGTGGATGGATGGATGGATGATGGATGGATGCATTGGGTGGGAAGTTGGTTGGTTTGTTGGTTGGGTGGGTGGGTGGGTGAGTATGTTTGGATGGATGGATGGCAGGAGTGGGTTGCTGCCCGCACACATGCAGTTCACAACCCATACACATGCCAAATGCGCAGAACAATTTACAACGAACTGCGCATGTGCAGTCACTAAAATAAAAAATGGTGGAGGCCCAGCAATGGCAAGGGATCGTGTTCAGGGTCCTGGAAGGCCTAGGACGCTGCCGGTTCTGTGACCCAGGCCTGAATTCCACTACTGGTTAAGACGAACCGGGCCAAACCGGCAGCAACCCACCTCTGATGGATAGGCGGGTGGGTGGGTAGTCGGATGGATGGATGGTTGATTGGTGGTTCCTGGAAGAAGTAGCCTCGAATGAAGCACCATCTTCATCTGAAAATCAGGTGCTAAGATGAAAGCTAATTTTGATTGGGCTTCAAGGAGATTAAAATTAATTTCAGTTGATCGGCCAGGTATATAATAGCTTGTCCCTTTACTCATATTTATAATGATTTATAATAATAGTTTGGCTGCAATTTCTGAAAGGTCACGTCCAAAGCTTTTGAAGGACGTGTGGTGTGGCTCGGGCATTATATCCCTTATCCACCTAATCCTTTGTTTTTGAGTGCAGACAGGCCACGCCCTTCTCCTGGCCATCTCTTGTATGGTTCCTCTTCCCAGGCGTCCTTTACCCTCCTGTGCTGCTTCTTTGCTTTTTCCTCCAAATGCTTATGAAAGCTTGAAGGGGAGCAGATCCCCCAAAGTCTCCTTTGAGGCCAAATACTCTGTGTTCAGCAATGCCGACTTGAGAAAGGAGGGCAGCACTTTTGCTAGCGAAGCCCCCCGCGAAGATGGTGGTCTGCTTCAGGACCCTCGTGTGTGATTCTGACCCGTTTTGTCCTCAGAAATACGATTACGACAGCAGCACAGTGCGGAAGAAATTTTTCCGAGAAGCTCTGCTGCAGGTCACCGTGCCTTTCCTGCTGAAGAAGCTGGCTCCCACTTGCAAAGGGGTAAGAGTCAGTCTTCAAGGTTATCCTTGGCTTCACCACTTCTCTTCCTCCTCCTCCTTCTCTCTTTTTCTTTTTCTCTTTCTCCTCCTCCTCCTCCTCCCCTTTTTCTCCTCCCCCTCCCCCCTCTTCCTCCTTTTCTCCTCCTCCTCCTCCTTCTTCTCCTCCTCTGCTTCCTTCTTCTCCTGTCTTCTTTTTCTTCTTCTCCTTCTCTTTCTCTTCCTCCTCCTTCTCTCTTCTTCTTCTTATCTCCTCCCCCTCCTCTTCTTCTTCCTCCTCCTTCTCTCTTTTTCTTTTTCTCCTTCTCTTTCTCCTCCGCTTTCTTCTCACTCTCCTCCTCCTCCTGCTCCTCCTCCCCTTTTTCTCCTCCCCCTCCCCCCTCTTCCTCCTTTTCTCCTCCTCCTCCTCCTTCTTCTCCTCCTCTGCTTCCTTCTTCTCCTGTCTTCTTTTTCTTCTTCTCCTTCTCTTTCTCTTCCTCCTCCTTCTCTCTTCTTCTTCTTATCTCCTCCCCCTCCTCTTCTTCTTCCTCCTCCTTCTCTCTTTTTCTTTTTCTCCTTCTCTTTCTCCTCCGCTTTCTTCTCACTCTCCTCCTCCTCCTGCTCCTCCTCTCTTCTTCTCCTCCCCCTCACCCCTCTTTCTCCTTTTCTCCTCTTCCTTCTCCATCTTCTCCTCCGCTTCCTTCTTCTCCTGTCTTCTTCTTTTTCTTCTTCTCCTTCTCTTTCTCTTCCTCCTCCTTCTCTCTTCTTCTTCTTATCTCCTCCCCCTCCTCTTCTTCTTCCTCCTCCTTCTCTCTTTTTCTTTTTCTCCTTCTCTTTCTCCTCCGCTTTCTTCTCACTCTCCTCCTCCTCCTGCTCCTCCTCTCTTCTTCTCCTCCCCCTCACCCCTCTTTCTCCTTTTCTCCTCTTCCTTCTCCATCTTCTCCTCCGCTTCCTTCTTCTCCTGTCTTCTTCTTTTTCTTCTTCTCCTTCTCTTTCTCCTCCTTCTCTCTTCTTCTTCT